TCCGGTGTTACACAAATAGCCTGTTGTTACAATAATCTGGTATAATGGGCTGTCAGTAGCAGCAATGATGCTAGGCTAGTGAGTTTCTACCATGGATGTATAATAAGAACTGGATACCGCGTGGGAGGGGGGGCCTCATTAATTCCTATGAGAGCTGCTCATTAGCGCATGATGATAAAATGGCTCAACTTTTGAGAGAGTGAAACGTCACAGATTACCCAGCATGCCTGAGAAGTACCCGTATGTGCACTCATAGAGCATGTCACTACCCAATCTGCAGTGCGCATGTGCGAGATGGTCCGCCATATTGGACAACTCCGGACGGCAACCCAAGTAGGACAATATTGACACAGTGGCTTTTGGCAAAGCTCAAAAGGAAAACTCGAGAGAGATGAGTTATTGTTATTACAACGTGACTTCACTATTATTTAACAACTCTTTTTATTGGGTTCTTTTATTTGGGGTTAAGTACATTGTCAGAATAAGTGAGAAATGAATGTAACTTCTGTTAGACAGCCATATGCCATACATTTTTGCACACATTCACAGTAAATATGTATTCAGTATGATAGCTGTCTAACAGAAGTTAAATCCATTTCTCACTTATTCTGACAATGTACTTAACCCCAAATAAAAGAACCCCATACAAAGAGTTGTTAAATAATAGTGAAGTCACGTCGTAATAACAATAACTCATCTCTCTCGAGTTTTATTTTTGAGCTTTGCTAAAAGCCACTGTGTCAAGTGTCCATCTTGGGTTGCCGTCTGGAGTTGTCCAATATGGCGGACCATCTCGCACATGCGCACTGCAGATCGGGCAGAGCTGCAGATCCGGTAGTGACAGAGCATGCGCAACTTTAACCAAAATGCTCGTTCACATCAAGCACGTCAATTTGCGTACACGTAACAGCACCGCGCGTTCATGACAGCATGGTAATGGATTGTTGTTATCATGGATTTGATATTAACGAGGCGGCAGATATTAGCTAGCGGCTAGCTAGTAATGATGCTAATGTACACATCAATCGTTATGTACTTATATTACGCTGTAACAGGATCTAGTGATATCCAACAGAGCTTCATTTAGCATGAAATAATTATTGCACTGTAGCCTATATATATATATATATATATATATTAGGGCCGGGACTCGATTAAAAAAATTAATCTAATTAATTAGAGGCTTTGTAATTAATTAATCGAAATTAATCACATTTTTAATCGCATATACATATTTGACCTAAGAACAGTGAGAAGCAATTTTTTTTCACATGGATTTTAGTATAACCATTAGGCGCATTCACACCCGCAGTACTTTTCCCACAAAGGTTCATGAGAACTTAGTTCATGAGAACTCTTTGAACCTGGGGGTGGATTAGGCCAAATGAAGCCGCTGACGTCACTTCTTCTTCTTCTGCTTTGGGTTTACTGGCAGGCCGCAAACCACTTCACGGCGTATACTGCCGCCCAAAGTCCCCGGCCGGAAGTCCCCGGAGTTGGGGACTGGCTTCAGTAGAAGCTGCTGGGACTCCCAGCAGCCTTCCGAGTAAATCGCCAGAACAGAACGCCGACACCCTCCTCATCTCCACCGCCATTTTGTGTTGGCCATAAGTGTTGCTCTGCGTTTCTGCGCTGGGCTAATGCTAATAAGGCTAATGCGAGGATAATAAAATGGCGGCTTCACAAAACTTTTTGGGAGTTTTACGGGGCGTGGTTTGCAATCCGCCCAGCCAATCAGAAATATAGCTCTTTTCTCACAAGAGAGCCGTACGAAAGTCCCTGCGCTCTAGCAGCTCTGCTCTCTAGCAGGGACTTTCGTGGGGGTAAAAAGGTTCTCATTAACTAATTTTAGTACCGGCTCTTTTTGTGTGAACGCGATAAAAAGAGGCTAACGTCCACGCTAGCTTCCACGCTAGCTGCTATATGTTTTGCATTGAGGTGATACTTGAGGCTTGATGTGCTGCGGTGGATATGCGAATTCCTTTTTTGCATAATTTGCACACAACCGTGCTCTTATCGACGCTTCCATCCGTCCGTTTTTTAAAACAACATGTCCCACTGTTGTTCACTGTGGTTTGTTGTTGTCTGAAGTCATGAACGTTAGTTGGTGCTCCAGTATAATCGGTACGCCTGAAACTCATCCAGTGAGAAACGTTCCGCGGTGCAAAAATAAGTGCGATTAAAATGCGTTAATTTTTGTGTAATTAATTAATCTTAATTAACGCGTTAAAGTCCCGGCCCTAATATATATATATATATACAGTGCAATAAGCTTCTTAGTGCAATAATAAGCTACAGGGACGTTAATCTAACGTCGGTAATATTAACTTTATTTAATACAACATTTACGGTACAAGATTTAATCATACAGCCCATGTAGTATGATAATGAATTACAGCAAACATGTGCAATATATCCATTATTACAGCTCCGTGGGATGGCAGTAAGACGATATGGATCCGTTCTTATTGTGCATCCATGGGTAAAGATAAACGCAACTCACATTGGTTTCTCATACAGCATCTCTGTAAACTACGTGTATTCACTGATTTCACTCTCTGCCTTTAACGGCTCGTTGTAGCTCCAATAGCTCCAGCCCCACCCTCCTGTGAGCACAGTGCTCTGATTGGTCGGGACACGTACATGAACGTGCCGGGCGGCGCGGTCCCGTGGTTAGATGCGCGTTCATAATGCAGAGGGAAATAACTCTCAGAATAACGTTTATTAGCAAATTTTTACAACTTGAGGAACGAATGTTTTTAATAAGGGCTATACAAGTGTTCATACTGGGTAGTTTTTTAGTTTAAAAAAAGTATCCAACGAGTTACAGACCACTCTTTCCCCCATGTAAGTCAATGGGGAAAAGTGTTTCCGGCCTGGCAACCAAACGGAAGTTTAGTACCCGCCGTTTGGCCAGCACGAATAATTTTCATCTGAGTCCGGCGCACTTCCTGGGGCTTGGTTTCTACACACTAGATTTACTCCAAGTAAACATTTTAGGGGGTTTCCCGATTAGTAATTTATTGTGCTGTTTCCCACAGGCTGATACAATCTTGAAAATGACTAATAAGCACCACCTGACTTTGCAGGAATGGACTAGATGTGTCAATAGTCCAAAATATATTGGCTTCAGATTATCACAGATAGCAAGATAATATTCAGACGGATCATCGACACAACACCAAATGCTTTCATGTGTCTGAGGAGAGTGAGCATAACTGTAACTGAAAACCTGAATAAAGGAATGTCCTTATTGAGAGTATGTTTTTGAGATCCACTGAATACTGATTTATGTTTAACTAAATTTGACGATACCTTTACAATGTTAAGTATAGTATAAATCTGTTGATTCAGTGTGTCTTTTCTTCAGATATCTCTCTCTCTCTCTGTTTCCTCCTCTCTCTCTCTCTGTTTCCTCCTCTCTGTCTCTCTGTCTGTTTCCTCCTCTCTCTCTCTCTGTTTAATAAAAAGCCAAACAAGCAATGTTTGTTACAAGAAAGTATTCAACCGGATTTTGAAAGAATCCAGTCCATTTTCTGAGCTCATATTGTCTTCTGCTGTGGAAGTTTCAAACTATATAAAAGCTTTGATTCTCCTTTATTTTGTGGTCTTATGAATCAATGGTATCAATAGTGACATTCACGCATGAAAAAAATACACAGGTCAATGTCATTGAGTGTTCTTTAACATTGAAATCTGTGCCTCTAATCTAATGTTCTCTAATAGTGATTGATTTGACAGGGATGACAATGACAGACTGTAAACAGACTCAATCCATACATTCCTATAATGCAAAGATGTGCTCCAGTGGCGAGAACCGACCTGTGATACATATTGGAGTTGTCTCTGAAAGGCAAATCAATATCTCTTGCAAACTGCATGGTAAGCAAATCGAAGTTCTTTAGCAACAGATAATGAATACAAAATGTCAGCAGACATAAAAAAGTTGTGAAAATAAACATGCATTGGGTTCTTCATTTCTAATTATAATACCATCAACAATATTGTCTTTCTAAAACAAAGAACAATGTCTGCACAAAAAATGGCTCCAAATTGAAAATCCACTTTTTCTGCATCTCAAGGGTGTTTTTGTCTAACCGAATTCATCATTATGTTGCAACAACAGCCTTTCCCATTACTGTCAAGCATAGCGTCCCTCTGCGCCAATAGATTTGCCTCTTCACAACCGAACAAGACACTAACTTTTTAACACATGTCATAAAGCTGCGAGACATCTCATTCAGTACATAGGGGCCTGTGTTGATCTGAGACTTCAGACATGCCATCGGAGAGAACAAGCGGTACGTCATCTGATGGGTTTCTCACATGACAGGCTTGTCACAAAACAGCCAAAAGCTTAGAAGTGCAGTTCACTTGACACACAGTCTTCAGGGATGTCTTTTGAAAAAAAAGCAGCCCCATAAAAAATAAATCTGTTGGTGTGGGTGGGAGGATGGGATTGGGGTACATAACAAATAAAGCATTGGCCTACAAAAGATCCAAAGGGAACCCTCAATGTGCCTCCTTGGTATCCATTTAGCAGGGGGGCTTACAGCATCCAGCTACTTACAGCCTAACCCAAGTGCTAAATTACTCACCGCGCTCAGCTGGAAACACTATAGAAAATGTGTTTGCCTAGAATCTGGTCTCCTTTATCAATCCCAAACAGCAGGGACCAGAGCGTTAAGCACTATGCCAGGGTTCAAGCAACAGCAAATAACATTTCAGATAGAAAGAAAGAAGGAATGGTTGCACAAATAAGATTTCAGTTTTGTCTCTGTAAATCCTTTAAAGCTAAATCTAACACAGTACTGTACATCCTACTGAATTCCTACTGAAACTATTCAAAGACACTGCCTCGGAAAAGTAAGACTTACAAGTACAATTGTTCAAACAGGCAGACAGACAGAAGGACAGACACACACATACGTCTTTGAAAAATTACAAAGAGAAACAGGTGCAGGGCCACTGGATTTGAATCAGAATCTTTCATTTCTTACCGATGAAGAGGTTCCATTCAGCATCTAGGTCTGCCTGGTTAGCTAGACAGCCCCTCATCACGTTGTGGCAGTAGTTGTGACAGGGTTTCAGCCCAGGCATGCCGCGGCAGTATGGACAGTAAAGCATCTTGGTCAAGGCTCTGACACAAGCTGGCAATACATTCACCTATGGAACAAAGAGACATTATCAGAAACAGGTTTATTACCAGGTAGGTTAATACGAGGAATTTGACTTGGTGTTTTGTATGTCTTACAAGCTCATTAAACCTCAGTAATTGTTTCATAACCTGCTGTTTGATTCGTTTAAGGAAGAGAGCAGTTGTGATAAAACAAGAATATTGCACATACGTTTCTATTATTCTACAAAACCTCATGAAGTTTCCAAAGAAACATAGCATCAATAGTAAGGATTGCAATTCCCAATAGGAAGGTTCATTGGGGGGGGATAGTCAGACTTATTTCAACTTGACAAATATCCCTACATCACGTCTTCTGAAGCTTGAAATGTGAAAACCCACCAGATAAAACAGTTTGACAAGACTATGTTTACAACTCTGTCCATTTTGATGTGAAGGCTGTGCCTTTTGTTGTTGGGCCATGTCATTGTACCGGCTTGAGTGAAAACGACAGGATTCTCACATCTGCTTCCCTTCAGAGGAGGGGATGCAGAACGAAGAGTACATCTGATAATTGGCCTGTCAGCCTCTGTATTCATGCTTGACTTTAAATCTTGTCCAACACACACTCTGGAGACCGCTAGTGTGTGTTGGTGTGTGCATTGGCAGATTGGTCCGTGGTTGTCATAAAAAAGATCTTTATACTACAAGAGTTTGGCTGAGGCAGCTGAAGCAATCTACCCATCTCAAAAAACGAGAGTTAAAAACATGAATTATAAGTCTAATTGTACGGTAAGGCCATGTTCATTCATCAGAGCAAAACAGAAAGAAAATGCTTTTTCCAGAAGTCCGATGGCCAAAGATCTAACATTTGCAGCCACAAACACAAAGAACACAACAAAAAAAGAAACCTCAGGGAGAAAAAAACAAAGGCATCGATTAAAATATTTTTCATTATGAGAAGAATACATTAATTACTTAATTTGTGTTTTACCATTTTCTTTGTCATAAGTAATATGTTAATTTGACCTATCTTAACATTAATACAATTAGAACAATAAAAAAGAACAGTCAGAGACAGATCAAACAAACCCCGGTTATATAAATACAGCTGAAGATAAAAGTAAACAATAAAACATCAGTGCAACCTTGTAGCTCCATGGCAACATATTTTACTTTACTGGAACAATTGCAAGACCACATGTGTGAGCACTGTGATGTGTGTGTGAGGGAGAGAACAGGAACATTATGAGAGAAAATAAGGAAGAGACAGAGATGGGGATCTAAGCTATTAGTGTACTTCCACTGCTGATGGCAGCCGGCAACAAGGGAAAAAGGAAGCATCTTTGACATTTGCAATCTGCCGCTGACAAATCGTGATGTATTGTAAGAAGGCCATTAAACTAGGTTGCTAGCTGTCAATTACACAGCTGCATGTCATACGCTGGTATGTGTTGGCAGGATCGGGGTTAACATATGGAAATGTGTCACAAACATGGTTCATTTGGTTGAACATCATATACAGCTGACATGCCTGGAAACTATTCATATGGTTGGGTTCTGCGTGTGCGTGTGTGTGTGTGTGTGTGTGTGTGTGTGTATCTTAGAGCACCAGGAAAAGCGTAAATACCATGTGTTTTTATTATTAATAGTATTTGTGTGTAAGTGTGTGTGTTCGAACAGTATCTCTGTAACAAATGGTCCCAACAAACCTAAACCAGACTGTGAGAAAATGTCCCGCTACTTTAAGCCTGTGTAGTAAGAGCAAGGAAATGTGTTGACGAAGGTACAGTATTTAAGACATCTTTTATATGATCACAACTGTGAAAACGTTTTCTCAATATATAAACATATGTATTATTTGTTCAACCCTCAGCCTTCACTTCTAAACAGATCACAACACTTATATTTGCCTTGACGACTTCATAGTGTGCTATAAACTGTTTATTAAACGTTAAAGTAATGTTTATAATGGTTGAATTGGGGTAGGCTACCTCATGTTTAGTGTCTCCATATATTTATCAATAGGCTAATTAATATTTTTTTTTTTAAAGTTCTGTAAGTGTCTGCTTTCAGGCCGCATGGCTGCATTCACAGTCATTTGATTGTATGCATAATATGAAAGCTGGAGTGCGGAACCTCTGTCTCCCTTGCTAGCGGTGAGAGTAATTAGCCTACCAGATGGGAGAGAGCACAGTGACGGAGCAGCAGCTAGGAGTGGTGTGCTAGGTGTGGCTGAAGCTAAGTTTCTGGAGTGGATGCTCGAAAATAAATAAGAAACTTTATGTTCAGAGGAAGATTTAAGACAAACTATTTGCATGGGAAGACTTGAGAAGAGCGGGGGAGAAGAAGCGAGCTCACTTACAGGCCTGAGTGTGCCAACGCAGGACAGTTGCCACAGACACTATACTCTAAACCGCGAAATACAGACAGCTTTCCGCTGTGTGAACTCGTTTGGCAGAGGGGTTGAATGTAACGGACGTTCCTGTAAAAGTCCTGCATTCCAGCTATAACTAGCTTTAAATGTCTACATGTTCTTATTCACAGGCAGTGCTGGAGGGATACAACAAAGAAGGAAAGAGAAGAGCCAACAGAGAAAGAACCGGCTGTTTAGAGAGCCAAAGACGCTGCCAAGGACGCAGAGAAATACACACCATGGAAAACAGAGACGGATACAGATGAAACAGACGGAGAGGAAACCGGACAAGTCACTAGCAGACACACAGAGGGAACAGGCAGGTGTTACCGCCACATTTGGACAGAGAAACGGACCAACTTCATGCCAATCATAGTGCTTGCTTTGAAAAGGGCTGCATCTTATTTTCCAAAGCGTTTCTCACTTTCAATTGATAAGCTTTAGGATATTTTTTGTCTTTCTTCAAAAGCATCTGATATTTTGTTAGCAGAGAGTAAAAACAGCCAAAACAAAATTAAGTTTTGCCCTTTCATGCATTATTTAACTGATTTACATCGCTTGCTTTTCAGCCTGATAATTCTTTGTCTGCCGTTTGTATTGACAAAATCTATCTCACATAAAAAATCCATGAGTTAAATCTCACTGCTACATGCAATTCACCAGGGTACTGTAACACAGCTGAGGACAAGACAGTTTTTAGATTGCACTTCACCTTCCACCCGCATCCCCATGAATCTCAGGCAATCGCTTTCTCTCAATGACTCAAAACCCGCGGATTAGATATAACATTTTCCTATCAAGCTATTTGGTTCATTTGATTTCACAGGCTAATTTGCATATACATATATTTGTTATAGAGACAGGCAAAGAAGAGAGGAAGAGTTTGTTCCTTTTGTTTCCTCTTTTGGTTCAGCCACACACAGTGACTGCACCTAGTGAAGGACATAAAATCCAGTTTAAACCTCTATCGTAAAACAAAACCTAGTCCACAGGATGACTTTGGAATTTATTCCTATAATAAATTCACAGTTCCACTGCTATAGTATAAATGATTGCAGCATTATAGAAGAGCCTAATGAATTGATAGTATACTGTTACATCTACTCTACATCAGCACACCATTACAAATGTCCTGCGTTGGAAAGACATCTCTAATTTCTGGGATTCATTTTTTTCTGTCAATTCAATTAAACTTGGCCCAGTTTCTAGATAGCATATTTAAAAGACAAACACTGGGAGAGTCTTTTTTACTATAAATCTGTTCTGTCTCTTAACATTCAGTGTGGCTTTTTAGGGGCAACCAAACAAAGGTATTTCATACTGCACATAGGACAAATGTTTTAAGCTGCCTTCAGCCTTGTGAGGCTTGAGAAAAATGTGCATTAAAAGTGTACTTTCTAACGCAATTATCTTACAGGGAACTTTTACATCTTTGCAGTGACTGTATCCAGCCGTCGCCGTATGCCCTGGATGAAGGGTAATCTGATAATCTTGTTAGCATTTATTTACAGTGGAGTGGATGGAATATTTCACAGCTGGCTGAGTGTGGGACTGGCGTGCAAAATGCCTCAGATCCAAAGTGAGATTAAACTAATCTACTCATCTGATGTTTAAGTGCTATGATAACACCACATGGAGAGCATGTGTTTGTGTGCCGGTTGCTTTGAGTTTTCAAGCAGTGCAGGAAGGATTCCTTCAATATAAGTACTCCCTTTCTAAAGTCCTATAATGAAAATAACCTAAGTATGATTAGCTTAATATACTTAGAGATTAAATGTTCCTCATAATGCGGAAAAATAACTACTATATATTAAACATAATTGTTGTTATAAGGTTTGCATTGTTGTAGCTTTTTACTGTAAAAGCATACAGAACCAGCTCTTTAGTTTTATACAGTCATTTTCTTTAAAAACAGATATACTGCTACTGTTTTACCATGGTGCTATTTGTTTTTTTACTTATTGTGTTCTTTTATTATTAATAACATGTACATACTAAGTTATTTTTACATTTTTAAGTCTGTTCTTCTCACTTTATCTGCACTATCTGCTGTTGTAATAATGTACATTGTCCTGTTGCGGACAAATAAAGGAATTATTTTTCAGATTATCTATAAAGTCTTGATCTGTTAACTCATCTGTCAAACAAATGTAATTGAGTCAACATTACAATATCTCTCTGCTCTGTGGTGAAGTAGAAGTATCAAGTAGTATAAGTAGCATCCTACAAACTGCTTTCACATTTTATATATTTTGCTGATCTTTTGTGTTCATCATTAGCTGATCACGTTCTGCTAAATATATCTTAATCAAGAAGACTGCCTGATTAAATAAAGATTAAATATAAAAAATAAATAATTGTTGTGTTTTGTAAAGAAAACATCTTCCCACAAACGAGAAAAGGGGAGAAATAAACATTGGCTACTCATTAGCATGCAGCTATAAAAGAGCAATTTAAGATGCAGTCAGCATTTCAGCCAGACTCCTGATGTGAGCATTAACTTTATTGAGGATTGAAAATGTGAGATTATAAATGCAATGGGCATTAGCGATAATAAGGCCAGCTGCTTCTCATTTCATTCTAAAAAAGGCCACAGTCGGGGGCCAATACACTCACCTGAATTCACTAACAGCA